GTTACTTTTTAAAAATTTCTATCACGTTTTTGAATAACAAACATAGGTTTTGATTAGTGTTTTGTCACTTTTTAAAGTATATTTGTCACTTTTTTTAGTGTGTCACTTTTTTAAAATTATGTCACTTTTTTTGAGTTTATGTCACTTTTTTTAAAAATTAAAAAAAGTGACAATTTTTTTAAAAAAAGTGACATTGTGTCATTTTTTTTCATTTTACACAGTATTTTTTACTTCATAAAAATCTTTCACATGATTTTTCAAAACACCCCTAATTTTAAGGGTATTTTTGTAAGTACCCCTTTACTTATTGTGCAATCAGGCCCAACAAAATGCTTAATTGCTAGGAGATAAATCCAACAAAAACTAAACTTAGCCCAAACTTAGCCCATGAACATAGTTAAAAACTAAAATAATATTTAAAATTGAAAAATGCCTTATTACGTCTAGGCTCGTAAGGTTTAAGGCTTGACCTTGCAACGTCTCATGCCTTCTAGAACCTTGGTATTAAGATATAAGTTACGTTTTGCTACTGACACTTGGAAAAACTTAAAACTTAAAAATAAATGTTTACTTATCGTCATCTCTTATATGTTATTTTATTCAATTATATTTTAAAGGTAATTCGCAATTTCAGTTTTGATATTTAAATGAGAATAATTGTAAAAAAATTTTTTACTCATTTTACCATCATAATTATTTTTACATATTAAGAGTAAAGTTTCACGTAAAACAATAATTATTATATAAGAGTTTGAACAATTTATCTTAACAATATTGAAATCTCAAGATACAACTCTATGAATCAATATGGTATTTGAACTTGCAAAAAATTCGAGTGACTAGCGAGTCAAATTCTAATATTAATGTTTTCAAACGAGCCAGCTACCCTCTTGCATGAGTCAAGGATAAACTAACCTGAATTGAATATAAATATAATAATAAATGTATAAGCACTTGAACTATTCTTTTTAACAGGATCGACGTTTTAAAATAAAATCTCACCGCACAATCGATACCTTATTTAAATACACTAGCCATGTCAAAAGTGCATTGTACGTTATTTTTACGTTTTTTACAGGTATTGTAAAAGTTTTTTTTTCATAATTTAATTTTAAAAATTGGTAATTTTCATAAAGCTAATATTATACCTAAAAAGCAAAGCTTGAAATCATATATCTTTTGCATCTTTGATATCTCGTGTGAAAGATATGATGTTACCCAATAATTATATAATGAATAATATCAAATAAAAGTTAAATCCAGTTTTTATGTTTTTGGATAAATTGACCACAATAAGTGACTTGTTTTATTAATAACGAAAGAAAACTAGTTCAAAGAACATAAATAAAAAAAAAGGAAAAATTAGGCCCAATACCCTTAAAAAATAAGAATATTTGAGTTATTTGAGCAACTACCTCTCCACCATGAGGTCGCTGGATGAGAAGGAGAAACACTAATTTTTGACAAGCTTTACAAATTTGTGGGAAACAATCGGCAAAAAATTATGATGGAAAACCCTATTAGGAAGGACTTGAAGCTTGCGCCTCAAGAACCGGGGCCTCTACGCATTGGAATCATCAGTCAAATGGCCACAAACATCAAGCTGGAGAAATTGGTGTCAATGGATCCGAATGGGATTGTGGTGCATCACCATGCTGATATTGGGGAGTACTTGAGAATGGAGGATGAACTCTAAGTGATAGTTCTGATGGGAATTTGGAAGAATTTTGATAAATGGGTTGTTGTCAATTTTTTTTAGTGAAGACGATTTTCCTATAATTATATACTTGTTTTACTTTTCAATTGTGGTTGAATATTATTTGTATTGAATTGGTTTTCATCCTATGAAATACTACTGCACTAGTTTTTGCATCCCAGCTTTTTGAAAACAAGGATGATGATGGAGTAAATTTCGTGCAAGTATATTAATTTCTTCGTTCAAGTCTCTTCGATTCTCCAAAATTCTATATTTTCTTAAAATGAAGTTATGTTCTATATTTAGTTAATAAAAGTGAAACATAATCATAAATAAACAAAATTTAGAAGAAAATCAATCGTCCTTGTATTCATTCCAAGGTTTTAATTGGTGTTTTGTCACTTTTTGTATTTGATTTTTTTTATTAGTATTTATTACTCTTTTAAAATTTCTATCACTTTTTTGAAAGACAAACGTAGGTTTTTATTGCTATTTTGTAAGAGTTTGTCACTTTTTTCAATAGTCATTTTTTTGACACTTTTTTATTCTTTGCTACTTTTTTGAAAATTCTGTCACTTTTAGAGTGACAAATATAAGTTATCGATTGGTGTTTTTATCATTTTTTTAATGTTTGTCACTTTTTTTAATTTTATCACTTTTTTGAGTGTTTTGACTTTTTTTTTACCACTTTTCTGAAATTTTTGTTACTTTTTTATTTTTTTTGTCACTTTTTTTAACGTTTATCACTTTTTTTCTATCACTTTCTTGAAAATTATGTCACTTTTTAATAAAAGTTGTATGTCACACTTAACTTTGAAAAGCAACACTTAATTTTACACAGTATTTTTTACTTCCAAAATACTTTTCACATGATTTTTCAAAAAATGTTTAATTTTAAGGGTATTTTTGTAAATTGCCCAATTAAAAATAGGGAAAATTAGGTCCAATACCCTCTTAAATTAACTAAATTGAATAATGAGGAAATTATACAAAACCAGATTTTTAAAGATTCAATTTAAAAAATCAGATCAAATGTTTAAATTTTCAAAAATCAAACATTTTATTTTAAATATTAAATAT